TCGTGATAGCACGTAACTTGGGTTTGATGATACAAATTACGCCAACTTGTGATGAAACTTGTAAACAAGACAAAGCGCCAAGACCATTTCTAAGACAAGTTCGAGAGGATGGAACCGCGACCTGTTACCTATGATGAGGTAAGAACCTTGGTATGGAGAAGACACCACACTTAACTATGGAAGGGTTGATTGATAAGCCAAGGATGAACGCCATGGATAATTCCGATAAGTTCGAAAAGTTGTTCAAAGAACCAGAGAGAATTCGTTCTCACAATGTTGATGAATAATGATTTGTTTTACAATTAGGGTCGCAACCCTATAAATAACTAAAACTAATCCTAACTAGAATAGGAAACTAACAAATTAGGTCCTAACCCTAACAACCACAAATTTGGGCTTCAACTAAATGAATGTTTACCCAAATAACACAACAAATGTAAAAATAAGCTAAAATAACCTAAGAACATTGTGAAATATTAGTGTGCAGCCAACTATAGTAGATTTGATGCAAATTGTGTAATTCAACCCAAAAAAGAAAAACTTGGCATGCAAGCCAAAACCCAAAAAGGAAAGTAATAAATTTGAGCCAGAATGATTGTTGAGTTCATGCCCAAAGTTCATGACCATTACTTGCAAAGATTAGGCTTGGCTTTGACAAAGTCTTCTTGAACTTGGATTAGGCTAATGCAATTTTGAGGCTCACATGGACTTCCCTCAATGGGCCTCCATGAATTGGCTTGAGTCCATATTTCTCGAATCAACTCATTAAGTGCTTCCTTGAACTTCTTAGCTCGAGCCTTTGTAATCAGTCCAACGGGAACTTGAATCGAATCTTTTAAAGTCAAACTTGGATTTATATCATTCCCTTCCTCTTGAAAAGGATTTGTCCTCAAATCATCTACTGCATCAAAAGGACTCAAATTAGTAACATTGAAAGTGGCACTAACATTGTACTCACTTGGTAAATCTAGTTTGTAAGCATTATCGTTGACGCGCTTTAAGACTTGGAAAGGACCATCTCTTTTTGGAAGCAATTTGGAACGCCTTTGTGCTGGGAATCTTTCTTTCCTCATGTGCAACCAAACCCAATCTCCAGGTTCGAAGACCAGCTTAGAACGCCCCTTGTTGGCTTGCTTTGCATATTGCTCTGTTCTTCACTCAATGTTGAGTCTTGCCTTCTCGTGAATCTGCCTCACAAAATCAGCTTTCTTTTTGCCATCTAAATTAACACGCTCAAACATCGGTAAAGGAGATAAATTTAATGGAGTTAATGAATTAAACCCATACACAATTTCAAAGGGTGAAAATTTAGTAATAGAGTGAACAATATGATTATAAGCAAATTCAACATATGACAAACAATCTTTCCAAGTTTTAATGTTCTTACTAATGATAGCCCTCAACATAGTTGACAAAGTCCTATTTACTACTTCAGTTTGACCATCAGTTTCTGGGTGACAGGTGGTAGAAAACAATAGTTTAGTACCTTGCTTACTCCACAAAGTCTTCCAAAAGAAGCTCAAAAACTTAGCATCTCTATTTGAACCAATTGTTCTAAGCCTACTTGTAACATCCCCTTTTTTATAAACCTCTTGGTTTACCAAGTAGAGAAATGTACTCTTCAAGATAGATAAAAAAAAAAAAAACAGTAGGAATTATCTATAAAAAAAAATTACAATGGAAGTAAAACTCTTCTTATATAAAACGTTTTTCTTTAAGGAAAATCTGCTTTCGAAACAATTTAAAGTTTTATAGAAGGAAAATCCTTCATCTACAAGGGAAAACTATTTAAATAAAAAAAATATCTTAAGAAAAATATCAAAATACTCAAAGTTATAAAATAAGTCAGGTTATGCCCATTTAAATTAATCTTAATATCATATACATAAAAGTAACTTATACAAAGAAATACATGAGAGCAATTGCCTTTCAAAATACTTTCTAAAATAATAAAAGTAAAATCATCGTTGTGGTAATACATTAATTTGCCTTTACATCGAAAACATTGAGGTCGGCATACGAGATTTATACCGAGAGCTCTCAAGCTGAGTGGTCGCTACTCCAATCTATTAATCTGAAATGGGGGGGATTTTATGAGCTAAAAGCCCAGTAAGTAATAAGTCTAAGCTATAAACTTGGGTCCTAAGACCCCTAGACCTATACACACAAAGAGTATGGGATACAACAAAACCAAACCACATAATATTACAATTCTCAGTATTCAAATAATAACTTAATGTCTCAAATCATAATCACACATGTCAAGGAATAATCAATGACATTTAAATCAAATTCATATGATAAAATCATGTGCTCATAAATGTGATATCACAAACATAATGCACAAAGCTGAAAATCACAAAATGTTATGGAGTTCATTGATGTGTGCTAGTAACACTATACTGGAGCTAATCACAGTACTAACCCTATTACGCAAAGGTCCACTAAATACCCCAAAGGGTCTACTGAATACCCCAAGCTTTAAACTTAGGTCCACTTACTCCATAACCACAATCACAAACACATGTCAAATAAGTTTAGAATATGTCCAAAATAATATTAGAATATTATCCCATTTAATGTTCCCATTAATCAGTCACATGGACAATTTAAGTTCATACTAATATCCACATACACAACTCACATATTGCATAGAATTTCATATTGAAAGAAATTAAAGTACACCGCATGAATAGGAATTAGTGTGTGAACAATAATTCATGAATAGTAATCGGTGAAATAGTTCCAGCAAGGCCCTTTAATCCATAAAATTCACACTAAATCAAACATAAAATAAACAAGGAATAATTCACTATCCTTCTCATACAACCCCAAAATTTGATATATTTCTAATAAATTTTTAATGCCCAAAGATCTACTAAACTAAAGTTTTGGGGTCAAATTCCACTAATTTATACTAACTTTTCTATAATTTACCCAAATAAGAAAAGTACTATAACCAAAATTTGTAACCACAACTCATACTTACCCAAAAACTTTAATCCCAAATTCATAACTTAAAACTTGTACTTACCTGGAAATCAAAGCCCCAAACTTAAACAACCAACAAAATGAAAGAGATTTCACTGGAGGGAGCGTCCCACACATCCCACTCGACAGCCAAAGGAGAAAAAGTGCGGAGGATCGACTAGAAATAAAGGGGAAAGATCTAGAGAAAAATGGTGGGTTTGGGTTTCGGGAAGCTTAAGACAAAAAAGAGAAAAGGATTTTGCTTTTCTAAAATCTTCTACAGAAGCCTTCGATGACTTAATGCCAAATTGCTACATGTCTCAAATTTTGGCTAAATAAGTTTGATAGTCTCCAACTATCTCAAAATTACACATAAGGCCCAAATATTTTAAATCTAGTTAATTTAGTCCCTAAAATGTTAAAATAAAAGTCTCTAATTTCTAATTTACTCACTAAAGTATATGGGGTATTATAATACCATGTAATCTCACAATCTCCCTAAAGAACAAATCAACAATATGTGAGCATCATCCGTTTTATGACATGGGATAACATGTGCCATCTTAGAGAACCTATCCATAACCACAAAAATTGAATCTTTTCCACGGCTAGTCCTAGGCAAGTCTAACACAAAGGCCATGGAAATATCAATCCAAGGTTCACTGGGAATAGGTAGTGGCGTATCCAAACCATAAGGTTGCACTCGAGATTTTGCTTGCTTGCACGTGACACATCTACCACAAATTCTCTCAACATCTCTTTTCATGTGCGGCCAAAAGAAGTGTTCCTACAAAATAACTAAGGTCTTAACAACCCCAAAATGTCCCATTAACCCTCCGTTGTGGGATTCCCTAACTAGCAAATCATGCAAAGAAGAATTCGGCACACATAACTTATTTTCCTTAAACAAGAATCCATCATGCTTATAAAACTTACCGGCTGCATTTTTCTCACAAGCTCGAAACTCCTCACAAAAATCTTGGTCTAAAGGATATAGTTCTTTAATGTGCTCAAAACCAAGTAATTTTGCATCAAGGGTAGAGATTAATGCATACCTGTAAGAAAGTGTATCAGCAACGACATTCTCCTAACCTTGCTTTTACCGGATGACATGTGGAAACATCTCGATGAACTCCATCCATCGTGCATGCCTCTTATTCAATTTGTGTTGACCTTTCGAGTGCTTCAATGATTCGTGATCAGTGTGTATCACAAACTCCTTGGGCCAAAGATAATGCTGCCATGTTTTAATGCCCAAACCAATGCATATAATTCCTTGTCATAAGTTGGGTAGTTTAGAGCTACCCCACTTAGCTTTTCACTAAAATGCGCAATTGGTCAACCCTCTTGTGTGAGTACTGCACCAATACCTACACCTGAAGCATCACATTCAATCTCAAACGTTTTAGGAAAATTAGGTAAAGACAATAATGGAGCATTAGTCAATTTTTGCTTGATTAGCTAAAATGCCTTTTCTTACTCTTCACCCCACTTGAATCCAACATTCTTCTTGATTACTTCGGTGAGTGGTGCTGCCAAAGTGCTAAAGTCCTTCACAAACCATTAGTAGAAACTAGCAAGTCCATGAAAGCTTCGTACTTCACCTATACTTGTGAGACTCAACCATTCTTGAATTGCTCGGACTTTTTCTTCATCAACCTGTATTCCTTGTGCAGTAACAACAAAACCAAGAAATACAAGCCTATCAGTGCAAAAAGTGCATTTCTTCAAGTTAGCAGAGAACTTTTCCTTTCTAAGCACATCCAAAACTAATTTTAAATGCACAACATGTTCTTCCAAGTTTTTGTTATAAATGAGAATATCATCAAAATAAACAACAACAAACCTGCCTATGAATGCACACAAAATATGATTCATCAATCTCATAAATGTGCTTGGTGCATTAGTTAAACCAAAAGGCATGACTAACCACTCATACAATCCATGTTTTGTCTTAAAGGTTGTTTTCCATTCATCTCCCTTTTTCATGCAAATTTGATGATACCCACTTTTTAAATCAATTTTCGAAAATACACAAGCACCATGCAACTCATCTAACATGTCATCCAAGCAAGGAATAGGATGTCGATACTTTACCGTAATGCTGTTGATAGCTCAACAACCAACGCACATCCTCTAAGTTCCATCCTTCTTAGGCACAAGTAGAATAGGAACAACACATGGGCTCATGCTTTCCCTCACGTACCCCTTCTCCATTAATTCACTTACCTACCTTTGAAGTTCCTTTGTCTCCTCGGGGTTGCTCCTATAGGCTGGTCGGTTTGGAATTGTCGCATTAGGTACAAAATCAATTTGATGGTCAATCCCTCGTATTGGAGGTAATCCAAGTGGCGTTTCTTTGGGAAATACATCTTCATAATCTTATAAAAGAAAGATAACACTACTTCACAAATTTTCGATAAGATCATCATTGCACAAAAATGCCTTCTTGTACAGAAGTACTATAAATGGCGGTTGTAAATGTAAAGCTCTCTTGATCTTACTTTTTTTTACAAGGAAACAATGTTGTTCCTCTCTTAAACTCACTAAAGTTGAATCTACTTTCTTTTTTTCTCTCTCAATTTTTTTGGCCTCTCACTCTTTTTCTCTCGAATTTCCACTCCTATCTTTTATCTTACTCTCTCTTTTATGCTCATTCTCTTCTTTTTGATCTCTCCTTTTTAAGCCTCACTTGATCCTCATACACCTATTGGGGTGTCAAAGGTACAAGAGTGATTGGATGCTAATTGAGTATAAAAGAGTATTTGTTGGTAAACCCATCATGCTTGACTCGTCGATCAAAATGCCATGGTTGTCCTAACAAAAAGTGCCCAACATGCATTGGAATGACATCGCAAAGTACCTCGTCTTCGTATTTTCTGATTTGAAATGTAGCTAACACCTGTTTGTTTACCTTTACCTCGCCGTTATCATTCAACCATTGCAACTTATACAGACTAGGGTGTCTCAATGTAGGCAATCCTAATTTTTCCACCATGTTTGTGCTAGCAACGTTAGTACAACTACCACCATCAATAATCACACTGCATACCTTATCTTTGACATAGCAACTAGTGTGAAAGATGTTCTCTCATTACACTTCATCCATATCCTTTTGCTTGCATGCTTAAAGCCCTTCTTGCCACTAACAAATCTCCATATACAGCAAACTCTTCTTCATATGTGTCCTCCAATGGTGGCATTTCTTTGGTGTTAGAATCTTCATCTTCGGTCACAATTTCACCATTGTCTTGCATCACCATAACTCGCTTGTTTGGACATTAACTCACTCTATGGCCCTTGCCTTGACATCTAAAGCACTTAATATCACGATTTCGAGTAGTAGAAGTGTCGATTTTACCTTGAGATTCACAGTTGGCGTTCTCAGTCTTATGCTCAGATTGGTGCTTGAGAGTTGAAGACGTTTGTGTCTTGTCCTCCTTTCTAGAAGAACTTGGTTTCCAAGGATTAGACCATGGGTTATGGCCAACACGTGTACCTCCCCTCCTCTTGAGCTATCGCTCTACGAGATGATGGCCATGTGCACCATGTCTTCTAGCTCCACATAATGTTGCATCTCCACTTGGTCATAAATGTCTGGATTTAATCCTTACAAAAATCCCACCATGGTTGCCTCTCAATCTTCTTTTACATTGACTCTAATCATGGCTTTCTCCATCTCTTGATAATACTCCTCCACACTCTGATGTCCTTGCCTAAGCCCTTACAACGTTTTGTACGATTCCCGGTAATAATGGTTGGGCACAAATCGCTTCCTCATCACTGCCTTCATCTCTTCCCATGTTTCAATTGGATGTTCCCGGTTCCGACGCCTATTCATCACCAACTGATCCCACCAAACAAGAGCATAGTTAGAAAATTCAATGGCTGCTAGTTTCACTTTCTTAAGCTTGGAATAATTGTGGCAATCGAAGACCAACTCCACCTTCCTTTCCCACTCAAGATAGGTTTTCGGATCTGCTTTTCCCTAGAATGGCAGAATCTTCATCTTGATGCTACCCAAACTATTGTCATCCCGATTCCTAACTTCTCTATTCTCATTCCCATGCCTAAACCTACCCCGGTTCAATGGTGGCTCATTCAACTCTTCCAACTCATCTTCTTCTTGTATGTCACCCCAATGTTCTTTTTGCTACATATGCCTAAGTGGTGGTTGAGTAGGAGAATTTCATTGCTACCTTCTATTCTCCAATTGCAATGTTTCCAATTACTCTTGCATGGGTTCAATTAACCTATTCACCATCTGTCACACCTCTCCCGATATCACATGCACTTGTAGGTTTGGAAGGGTTCGTTGTGGAAGTTCTTCACTCGAGTTTTCTTTTTGGTTGCATGACATGCTTGTAATATGCAAAATGGGGTTAGAAACAATATGGAAAGGACCTCACCACACTCCCTCACGTGTTTCACTCAAAAAAAAAAAAAAAACAATTATGTATCACTCAATTTCGCTCGCGTTTCACTGAATTGGCTTTTACCTCTAATGTGCTCACCACTCTTGCCTTTTTCCCACTCATGAATTCTCTTTTAGTTCTTTTCAAACTAATCAAACAATATTCAAAATTCCTAGTAGCAATTCACCAGAAACTTACCAACCAAACTTCAAGTTTTAAAAGGATGACTGCAATGAACACGTATTGACTAGATTTTGGAATTCACAAAAAAAACAAATTGGGAAAAAAAAAATTTGCACTTTGAGGTAAAGTCAGATTAGGACTCCTGGATATTAGAACAATGGAAGGAAACAATAAAAAAAAAAAAAAGCAGGAAAGACAAATCAGTTTGACTATTCCTAGTAGGAATTGGATTGACGAATCTTTAAGACAGTATGATTCCTAGCTTAGGAAGAAGAAACAAACAAAACTGCTATCTCCTAATTTGATCAGAATTCAAACAAATCTCAAACTTCTTATTTTGACCAAAATTCAAAGACAATCTTTACTCCTTATTGTAGTAGGATTCCTTTCTTTTTAAGGATTTGACCACTGATTTCAACTCTATATGAGAACTTCAACCACAAACTTCTTGTCTCTGTGACTCACCCCTTTTTTTTGTCTTTTTTTTTCCTCTTTTTTCTTTTTTTTTTTTTTTTTTTTTTTTT